CTTTTAAAGTTCTGTCACTTTCAGTCTATTACTCTATACTCTATAAATGCTAATATCAAGGAATATAAATATATCAAACTGATTGCATGTCAGTAATAATTTGGTGTAATGAATCAGCTTTTTGCTGCAGTTTAATCATTTCCCTAATGACAATATAATGGTTTTACTGTACTTAGTTGCAATTTCCAATTTGTTTGCCAGATAGATACCTTCATGCTGCTAGCAGCTGCAAAGAGTGAAAACAGCCACCATTTCAAGGAAATGATAACAGTTTTTTCTAAATGGCATATTGAAATTTGTCATGCACTACTGAATAAAATTTGCTGGAGGTTAGTGGACGGCTCATTAGGGCAGGCATTTCAGGAAATCCTGCAAGAAAAAGGTAGGTTCTAGGAACATTTGTTTTTGATTTCTACATTACACATTGCTGTCAGAAGAGGCTAGTGGGTTGATGTGGAGGAGACAAGGCAGAAAGGTGTTTTTTTTTAAAGTTGTTTGATGTTTGTGCACAAAACGTAATTTTATGCATACAATCATACAATTTACATGGTATGATTTTCGTTGCAAATCAAGCAGTGTAAACTTTCCTGCTGAGAGGTCCAAGAGGTAACGTAATTAATTTCTTGCTATTCGGTGCCAGTGGACGTGGACAAAAACAACTTTTTCTGTTGAACAGGCAGAGAATGTCTTTCAGGAGGACCTTTGCTTTACCTTGGGGAAGGTACTGACATAAGCTCTTCCATTAAATGATTTCCTAAGATCTTCCAGCCTGAAATTTAGGGAACAAACTTTAGTTTCTGTCATGAATTCCTTTCTTTCGTCTGTTTTCTCCTCAAAGGCAAATAGGGAAAAAGTAAAAAAAATACACTTTGTCTCCTTTGAAGATACATTGTCCATGCCAAATTTAGAAAGCAAAATCAGTGTCCACAACAAGTCCACCCTTGAGAATAATCCATGATCGCAAGATAGATCATGTAATCGTATAATAATAGTAGTTTATTAACACCTCTAACCCTGCAATGAACTAGCATCCCATCCAGTCACTCCTAGTCGCTTCATTCTACGGAAACTGGGATAAGCTCTGGCCTGATGGGCCACTTGACTCGTATACAGACTTTACGTTTTACCTTTAACATTAACACCTCTGGCAGTTGAAAACTGAATAAACAGTGCAATTTACAAAATTGGATACTAATAATCAAGTCTATTACAATAATAAGTACCAGTATTACAATAATGACTAGAATCACAAAAACTTCAAAGACAAAATCGACATGCCCATTAGGTGTTGAATGCCTAAATCGTGATCTACCAAGCCACAGTTGAAAGCATCAACGGAAAGGAGACTCACTGCAAGTCAATTCACAACTTTCTGCAAGCAAAGGGCCTCACTTAGAGATAAGAATAAATAGAACACAACCATGTCAAGCAAACATGTCTGGTCCCTAAAGGACACCAAATCGGAATTTGTGGTGACCCTGGTAGAAATCCTAGCCAGGATCATAAGTAGGCAGCTGAGGCAGCAGTTTCTTGTTGTTTTCTTCTGGGCTGATAATCTCTTGTAAAAATGTTGATTCAAAGATTAAGAAGCATCAAGAGATTGTCACACTTACCATAGTGAAATGTGAAG